TTTCAGTAGTTATCCTTTGAGAAAAAGAATCATGATATTCATGTAATTAGTTATAGAAAAGGTAACTAATTTAAAGATTTATAGGTGAATATTGACATTAAGGCCTTGAGTTAAATGCAAAGAATAAAGAATTTCTTTCTACCTTTTTTTAATTAAGAAAATATTTTTTATGATAAAATGTACAGTGAGGCTAATAAACATGGAAATTTCATAGGTCATTCAAATGAATACCCACATACTCAATATTTACGTGAATAGATATTAATCTGTACAAACTATTAGAAATGCAAACTCTTCAAGCAGCAGTTTGATTTAACTCATATAGATTTACCATGTGATTGACTAATGAAGAAAAGATCACCAAAATACAAATAATCATATTCATGAGTCATTATCATAAAATTATACATATTAATAAGATATTCTATGTTGAGAATATTTCTGATACATGCTAAAATTGTTTTATAAACCTTAAAATTTTGACATTTCACCTTTCAAATGCAGCAGGTTTTTTTAGTGGAATCTATAGCCTGCTTCCTTACTAAATAAAGCAACTCAGACCTCATTTGTCTGTCTCTTCTATGTTTTTCAGAAGACAGAGTCAAAAACAGAGGTGGAAAGAATGGCCATGTAAACAAGAGACAAATGCCGTTGTTCTAAATGACTTCAAATACATGGATGTCAGTTATGATTAATATGTGCTTCTAACTTAACAAGCTTTCTGTATTTTAAAGGCAAATTTAATAGTAAACTTCTTGAAGTAATGAATATATATATTACCCATACCTAATAAATAGATTTCTTGAAGTAATGAATATATATTACCCATACCTAATAAATAGATTTACCAGTAATATAAACTTTTAAAAGATAATTTGAATTCTTTGTTATATTTAACATTCTGTTACATTTTGATTGAGTTTCTTTAATTTTAGAAGATGATAAGGAAATTGATGTTAAGGAAATAAAATTGTCCAGAATATCATCAATAGGAAATTAACCCGCTACCAAAGACTTGATCTCGGCTGTTGTGCGGCAGCTGCCTCCCTAGGACTTCTTACCCAGATGATGAGCCTTGCAATACAAGGAAGACAACAAAGCAGGGTGGCACGAAGACCAGGATGGCATCCTAGCCTATTTCCAAGCTTAGGAAAAAAATGTGTCACACCTAATAGCTCAATTGATATCATCATGATTTCTCCACCTGAATGTGCCACTTCCTTGGAAAGAATTCTGCTGTACTACTAGTAATCAATTCAAGTTTATGGAAATAAAGTCTCTGAACAAGTCTCAATGTCAGTAAGATCAATCACTTGTGAATCTTAACATTTGTTTCTTAGGCCACATCAATATTAATGACATAAATTACCCATTTTGCTCCCAAGATAATTATCTATTTCTTCCTCATTTGCAATTTAGATCAAGTTGATGGGCATTTTGTTTCTGTACAAAAAAATTGGAGTCTAGCTAAAAAATTTTATCCTAAGAATGTATGAAAAACATCACAAAATAAAAAACTATACATAACTTGAATCTCACTCATAGTGATTGCAAGTACGAAAGCAATCTCATCGTAACTCCATAGCAATGACTACTACTGATAATATGACATAAATACAATAAAAAGACATGTAAATAGTGGAGTACCTCTATTTGGGATGATTCTTTTGAGAAATGGAGTGTCCTTCTGGGCATATGTAAATGACAAAGGTGGGTAAGTGACTGCATTAACAGAGATCTTCAGATTGGCCATGCCAGCTCTCCCAGCTGGGGTGCTGCAGTACACCTCACTGGAGTTGATGAACATAATTTGACAAGGATCATCCCCCACAGTGACTGTGGTGTTGTGAGGAGAGAAGCCATTGCCTGTGATCACCAACGTGGTTCCACCAGCAATGCTTCCAGATATTGGTGCGACAGAAGCTATTGCAGGACTGCTGACAGTCAGGTTTCCAAGAGCTAAGCCCTTGGTTTCCACCACAACACTGAGAGAGTGACGTCCAGCTGGTAGTGGAGTCATGAGAACGGTGATATTATTTTCATTAACATCTATTGCTCTGAACTGTTGACTTCCTATGAATACAGAAATGTCCTCCAACACAGTCCCAAAGCCTTCTCCTTCAATAAGAACTTTTACAGAGCCTTTGATAGAGTTTGGAAAGATTTCTCTTACATAAGGAGTGATGCTTTCTAAATATGAAAAGCTGCAGTTGCCCTGACATTGGGCAGGCACTCCATGAATTAGAAGCTCTACAGGCACAAGTTGTTGGGGAGCAGGAGATGTTTCGCATTCAATGGCTGAATAGGTCACAGTTAGAACTTTACAGGGGAAATTTCCCATTAAGACTTCTACACCTGCAGAAGAAACCACAAATCCAGAACCTTGTATGGTCACCCTTGTCATTCCTGTAGTTGATCCTGTACTTGGCAACACCATATCTATGTTTGGCAAAAGTACAAATCGCCTGTCAAATTCACTGGACAGTGTGTTGATAGCAGTGCCCAGGTTGTACACGATCAAACTGACAATTTCTCTGATTCCAACATCCATAGAGTTTTGAGGATCAATATGACATATAATAGAACTGTTGTTACTTTCTTGTACAACACAAGGATAGCTACCAATTGTAACCTTGAAGAAAAGCAAATACAAAATAAAATGTATTAATGTATGAACTTTAAGTTTTCATTAGTGGAAATTATAATTTATAATGTGAATTCTGTGAAAACTTTTTATTCATAAAGTTAATTTGGGGGATTAAGGCATGCATATCTTAAATTTACTTTAAGACTGCATCATAATTGCACATATATGTTTATAACTGTGTTATTCACATAGCCCAAAAGTGAAAAACCTAAATAGCCATCAACTGGATGAATGAATAGATAAAATAAAATATAATATGCCATACAATGGAGTATTTATTCATACATGAAAAGAAATGAAGTATTGGCACATGGATGAACTTTGAATATAGTATGCTAAGTGAAAATAGGTGTTCATGGGACTGGAGAGAATGGCTCAGCAGTTAAGAACGCTGACTGTTTTTGCAGAAGATACAGGTTCGAATCCTAGTACCCACATGGCGGCTAACAACTGTTCATAACTCCAGTTCCAGGAGATGTGATGCCCTCTTCTGCACTGCACAACATGGGGGCACTTAACACACATGCAGACATAACACTCATACACGTAAAAATAAATAAATAAGTAAATAAATTTTAAAAAGAAAATATGTGTTCACAAAAAACTATATATGGTATGATTATATTTAAAAGAAATGTTCAGGGCTGGAGAGATGGCTCAGTGGTTAAGAACACTGGTTGTTCTTGCAGAAGACCTGGGTTCAAATTCCAGCACCCACATGACAGCTAACAACTGTCCATCACTACAGTTCCAGGGGATCCGACAGCCTCTTCTGTCCTCCGTGGGCATTGCACAACATGGGTGCACTTACCTACATTCAGGCAATACACACACATAAAATAAAAATAATAAATAAAATATGAAAAAAATTTAAAAAGAAATGTTCGGAACAGGCAAAACTATAGGGAAGGAAGTTAGATCAGTATTTATCTATGGGCTGGCATGGAACACATGTGGTGTTTCTTAGAGTCTGGAAGTTTCTTTTGAGATTATGAAATGCTCTACAATTGATTGCAGTTATGGATGTATGACTCCATTAATATACTATGAAACACACACACACACACACAAAACTGTATATTTTAAATGACTAAATTAAATGCTATGTGAGTTAAATATCATAAAGCAGATAAAAGTAAATTATGAGATTATGGTCAAAATATCTTCCTTTTATTGACCATATGGACATTCAGAAAGGATTTTTATACTCTTACCTTATTGGCACATGTAAGATTACTGAAGCCATGTCCAGTAATAGTTATCAATTCATTTACTGTTCCAATTGAAGGAGTAATGTTGCTTATAGATGGCGAAATACAACTTGAAAGCTCAAAAAGCAACTTAGTTGAATTATTAACCTTGGTATCATTCAGGCCACACAGGGATTCTGTTGCTAAGCAGCCTGCCACACTGCTTTCCAAGTGTAAATTCTCAGGACCTGTTTTAGACAAAAAACTGCCTATAAGCCATGGCAGTATTCTAAAACAAGCTGTGATCAGACTCCATTACTATTTCTTTGATGAAGAAGATAGGTGCTTTTAAATTCTGGTAATCTGGTAATTGTTTTTACAGGAAGACTCCAGGCAAGACAAAGATTTTAAAGAATTAGGCAAAATTGGTGCAATAAAAAGAGAAGAATGAACATAAAACGAATTGATTTTTCTAAGTAAAGAGTCCATAAGACTTAAGACTCTAAGAGTCTGTAAGATAAGTGAAATAATATTATCAATTAACATTATAATTCAAGGGGCATTAAGAGTGTCAGAATCTTCACAGTATACTTCATTTGATCCATACCATGGTTCTGGGAGGAAACATGGCAGGAAGATATTATTAACTTATTTTACAGTGTGAATTCTAGACTTAGTAAAAGGGAGAAGCAGGTTAGACCCAGTCATCTGACCTCTATTCCAGAGAGGTCACTTTAAGCCAGGGTCACTGGACTGTAGTTTCCATCTTTAACCATCTTACCCGGAGCATATATGGCCTCAGTGTTTCCCACATACAGTTGCAAGGGGATGTGCCTGGTTTCAACTGGTAAAACATTAATGACTCCTTGGAGGGAGATGGCGTGAGCCTCATCAACATACCCACTGCTATAGTAATGGATTCCAGGGGAAGTAAACTGATAAGAAAATGAACCTGCATAAAATAAGATTGTACATAAGAATTACAAACAATGCATCTTTGAAAAAGATGAAAAGTGAAGCGTAAAGAAAATTGAAATGATCACTTAAATGCACATACATATGACCATTGTTTTTACTTTTCATGTGTTTGACATTTCAACAGGAAATGGTAAGGGATGGACCACTGACTGTAAAAGGGCTGTCTTATATAAAGAAGGCAAGATCTGCCTTTGCTTTTTAAGAAAACCACGGGAAGTCTGACATAATTTACCAAAATTTAAATAAAAACTCAACATGCAGTGAAAATATGAATATACTGCTAAATGTGTAGAACAAAACAAACAATCTCAAAATCATACTACACTGAGCTGTCCTATAAGAAAAACTAATCCTAAAGCTGATTGTAGTCAATAGAAGTTCAGTACTTGCTATCAGGTCAGCATGATTACAACATGTAGTTTTATTTTCATTGTACTTTGATGAACACCATAGTTTTTCAATTGGTCAATTTTGTGGAATTAATAAAGATAATTCAAACATCAGAATTCATTATAGTGTATATAAAATAATTGGTTGCATTTATTTATAACATAAATACTATAGATATAAAAATGTCAACTACTTTGTACATTTGTATAAATGGTTTATGTAAAACTACTTTTTTTTTTTTTGGTCTTTTTTGAGACACGGTCTCCCATAGCCCCAGCTGGCCTAGAACTCTCTATGTAGACCAGGCTGGCCTTGAACCATTTTAAGTCTAAGCAAAATGTCCTTTTAGCTATATCTAGGGTAAAGAAGCATAATGAAAAATTCAATAAAACAGAAATATACCTGATGAAGATTTTTGCCTTCCATTTATAAATCCTTTGTCATCATAAATTACACTTCCAGGACTGGAGACTGAGAAAACTCTGTATCCTATCCCCTTAAGAAAAGGATGTGCTTGCCAATGCCATATCACGGTATCTCCTACAGACACATCTAAAACTGGTGGTGACCAGGCATAGCCTAATCCATGCTCTGGGAGGAAGAATTGAGGCAAGTTTTAAAAGGGAAAGAAGTAAATTTTTAAATAATTAGCCATAAAGATAAACCTATTTTTGTACAGTTTCTTGTGAGAACAACTTCAAATGAATATTATAAATTTTAGTATGTGCATAACTTAAACACCTAACCAAAACATAAGCAGAGTGAGTAGAAAGCACAATAATGAGAAACTGAGGAAGAAATAAGCATTCAACTCCAAAAGTGATAATCAAGAGACACTGAAAAAATTCGGAAGCTCATTTAAAAAGTTGTTCAAAAATATTACATGTAATAATTTTAAAATCTCTGATTGACTCTTTAAACATAAGAATTTTCTGAAACATATAGGCATTCCAGTAATTTTAACTTGAATATTCATTCAAAACTCCATGACTAATAATAAATTACAGTAATCAGAAGTTCTATACTACAACAGTATCAGCTGGCAATTTCTGATCACGGAAGCTGCAAGGTCTAGCTTTGTAAACTCAAGTTTATCACATATGACTACATATGTGATCCATATGTGACACTTATATCGTATGGAGGCCACTGGAAAAGCAGAAAGGAAATAATGAAAGTTATTCTCTGAACAATTTGAAATGCAAAGTGAAAATAAAATTAATTTCAGAATAAAAAGCTTCTTTTATTTTTTTACGATATGTAGATGTTGGTTGGTACCTAAGTGTGATCCGCTGTTGGTGATTCTGAACACATTTCCTGTTGACTGAAGAGTGCATTTGATGATATTTTCTGATGATGATGTAACATTGCATGGGAAGGAACCTAGAAAGGATAAAAGTAGGAAAAAAATGGTCCCAATTTTTTTGTGAAATTTAGAGATGAAGTATCATAGTAAATATTCAGTTTTTTGCAAAAGCTCAGCATTATAAGGGAGGATCTTTGGTATCTTCTTTCTGATGATAATCATGTTTGAGTGCCGATTATTGTCACAGAAGAGTTATATTAACATTAAATTAACACAATGACAAGTTATAAAAAATTAAAGATCCAAAAGCACAGTTGTTCAGTTTCTCATTATCCCCTTAACGAAATACACCTAACCTTTATACTTTAATATAAAAACAGGGGTTGGAGAGATGGTTCAACAGTTAGTAATGCTTGGTGATCTTGCAGAAGACCTGAATTTGATTCTCAGCACTTAGATCTGACATCTCACAACCTCTTGCAACTTCAGATCAAGGAGATCTGATGCCCTTTTCTGGCCTTTGTGGGCCTACACAGACACAGACAAACACACACACACACACACACACACAAACATACACAAACACACACACACAAAATATAAAAACAAGAGTATTAGTAAACCTTTCTTACACTATTGAAAAACTATTACAAGTATTTGGGGAAAACAGGAATACTTGAACAGGTGAATGAGAAGGGGGGATTAGGGAGAGAGAAAGAAAGAGAGAGAAAGAGAAAGTGCTTCAGGGGTGTGAAAAATCAGAGGAAAATGCATTAGTTTAAAAGCCTACTAAAAACTGCACATACAATATATGCATATGAGCACATGTGTATACCTGAAGGCTATATGGAAAACAGTGTGAAGAACTCTCAAAAAACTAAAAATGAACCTACCCATATGACCCAGTTATACCACTCCTTGTCATATACCCAAAGGACTCATCTTATTGCAGAGACACTTGTACATCCATGTTTGTTGCTGCTCTTTTCACAATAGCTAAGAGATGGAAGCAACCTAAGTGTCCCTCAATTGATGAGTGGATAATGAAAATGTGGTTCATTTATACGATGGAGTTTTACTCAGCAGTAAAGAAAGATGAAATAATGAAATTTGAAGTTAAATAGAAACTGTTATGCTAAGTGAAGTAACACAGACTCAGAAAAACAAATGCAGTATGTTCTCCCTCATACGTGGCTCCTAGCACCAAACCCTTTTAAATTCCAGGCCCTTTTAATAAGATGATGCTATACAGCAGTCCCTTCTGCATGAAATAAATACCATCATCACGACTTTGCCTGAGTCTGATCGCTAAACATAGTCACAATTGGGTTTGTTGATGGTTGTGCTCATTCATTAAAGGAGTGCCAAGCAGGGTCACTGGACCCTCACCTGAGTATCCAGCCACTCTTCCCAGCCAACTAATCCAACCTTGGAAGACAAAAGACAAATGAGGAAGAATCCAATAGAGGGATGCTTTTGGAAGCCCTTGTCAAGAAACTCCAATGGAATCTCATATGAACGTTTGAAAATTGCCCTGTTCTGACTTTTTTCTAGTTCTCTGTCTAGAACTTGTAATGCTAATTACTCTTGCCTTTACTTCTCCTTCACATCTCCTATTCTTGATTCAAGGACTTTTTTCTCTCCTTAGAGGCAAGAGTTATGCAATTTGGGAGTCTTTTAGATAGACCCACTGAAGGGGTACTCCGATTGCCTCACCCTGTGTCCCTGTTCAGCATGGAAGAAGCCAGAATGGTTGGTGTCCCTATTCCCTATTGGCAGTTTGGGTAACCTCTCCAGAGGATGTGGTGATAAGAATAGGAGGTAGGCAGTTAAGGTAAAAAGACCCCAAAGCAATGTAGCTAGTTTCTTGGCTAAAAATCAAAATGTCCTTGAGCCTGTTAGCAACATACTCTGACCCAAGGCCAAAAACATCAAGTATTTGGGAGCTTGTATCTAATCCTTAAAAGATTTTAGGGTTACCTCTTCAGAGGGGAGAATGTTGGAGGGGAGGGAATGGGCATGGATTTGATCAAAACACCTTGTATGCATGTATAAAATTCTAAATAAAGTTTGTAAAACAAAAAAAAATAAAAAAGAAAGAAAGGAAGGAAGAAACACAGTGCCAGACAAGAGAAGCTTCCCTTAGAGTTCTTGGCCAGGGTAGTCCAAGAGACTCCAAAAATAACACAGACTATTGCCATAGCCCTTGATTCCTTCCCAGAACTTGAAAGTAAGACCCTATTGTTGAAAACAGGACAATTCAGATACAGGACTTGGAGCAATGGAACTGGAACTGACCTGGAAGCTTCCTGAACACTGGCTCTTATAATATCAGAGGACACTATACAAGCTGTTAAGGAAAAATAATCAATGGTCCAACTCTGGCTATAAAGTTTTATAACCACAACAATGTCCTGTACAACAAACTATCTCTGTTGGTGCAGTCATGACATTTTTGTCAGTAATCAGCAGCTATCTAATTGGACTTAAAGCCTGCTAAACAGGAGAGAACTCATGTTTGGTATTGTAAACATAGCCAAGTACAGATGGCTGGATAAGACACAGATCCTAGTGAAAAACCTACATCTATCATTCCTAGACAAATGTAATTTCTTACTGTATGCTAAATATGGATTCTTATCTTTACAGACAAGTATACCCCCACAACATTCATCAAAGAAGCTTCTTTTCGTGGAAGATGGAGACTATTACAGAGTTCTACAACTGGTCAAACACAGAGAATTAAGTGTGAGATGCCCAGCCTTAAGTGACACATCTACAATGGAACTTCTATACCTAAGGCTCATGAAGCATAGTGAAACAGGAGTTAGAGAGAATATTAATACATCTTTCAACTCTCACCACAAAATCTTCCCCATACAACAGAGGGTGATTAACACTTAAAGTCACAATGACTAAAATGTAGAGAATAAGAGACTGAAGAGTACCTGTCCCTGGAGAGGGTTTCTAGTGTAAATGTCTGCTACCCAGGTCTCGAGGACCATTGTGGAAGAGGAGGGAGAAACAGTGTAAGAGACAGGGGTGGTAGATAACCAAGAAAACAGAGTTTTCCGTGCCTCTGGGAACTTGCTCATATGAACTTGAAGCAATAGCAAAAGAATGCACAAGGCCCATGCAAACTAAATCAGACAAAAACCCAGCATAAACTGGAGAAATGGGCAAGAAGCCCCAACATTGGCTGAGGAACTATTGGCAGCTAATCACTGGGTGAGAGTTGGTCTTCTTTAAGAGAGTGGTGCTAGATAGGCTGACCAGTCTCCAGTAGATGGATGCACACTGAAAGACATCTGGGGACACAAACTTGACTCAATAGACCTTAACATATAAAACAGAATGCATGAAATCTGGTTGAGGGCTATGGAAGTGTGTCTAAACATGATTAAGACGGATTGTATGAAATCTACAAAACTTCGGTAAAATATATATTGTAAAAAAAGCATTCGTGTAACAACTCAGCACTTATAGCATATTCTTTTCACCAAGAAAACCCTTGATAGCTCTCCTGCAGAATGAAGCTCTTACCTAAGAGGACAGAATTTTCAGTTGGTGTTGTGCTGAACCCTAAACCCATTATAGTGATTTCAGTTCCACCATACAAAGAGCCTCTCTGTGGAAACATATGAGTCACTTCCAAAATATACTGTATGGAAGCATTTAACTTGTTCCTGAAAAAAAAAAAGGAATAGATTTTTCAATGAGCTTCTTCCCCATAGGGCCACAGTGTTTGAGGAAGGGAAAATATTTGAATATCTATGTAATTACACATTAATTTTCCAGAGTAGCTAATCTGGTAATTATCATAAACTCCATTTGGCTAGATACATATTACATATATATATATATATTGAAAACTGGAATTTTGAAAAAATCTAATAGCATAAGTATGTGAGATAGTTTTTAAATATTATGGGAAAATAGGAATTGAGGTCACAAGAATTAAATGAAATTCTTTAAATTATTTTATATTTATTAGAGTAAAATATAAATGCAGCTATAACTGTAACAACAAGGTGGCAATGAAATCCTGTCCATTACATCAGTAATTAATCTTGTGCACTTAAAGTTACCATCCCCTATTTTTTGAAAAATTTTCAGGATTTCACTTCTCATTATTTCAGGTGAAAAGGCATCCTCAAGATGTTTTCGCCTTCCTCTAATGATACCTAGGACCTAATATTTGTAATCTTTTCACATTTACAATTGTCACAGTTCTGATGTAATTCTTTGTTAAAAATTTTTCCAACAAAACTGTGAGTACCATTATTGCAAGCAACTACTACAAATCCAGAATAAATAAGTATTCTTCCCCCCACTGCCAAAACTGCTTGAAAAGTATTTCTTGAACAAATGAAAATCATGTAACCTATATAGAAATCTAGTTTCACAGAGAGTTTTATAACCTGATCTGAACTGTCTGACTTAAAACTCAAGTGTTGCCTCATACTTTATGAGATTTTCTAAGAATCTTTTCCAAAAGGAAATACAGAAAAGTAAAGGATGCTATCAATATATTGTCAGTTAACGTTTTTTTTCTATACCAAGTTTATTAGCCCCAAGCATTCCACAACTCTATCAAGTTTTATTCATTACCATACCTTGTCGATGCAAAACCCCAGTTTTTTACTTCAACATAGATGTCGTGTTTTCCTGGAGACAACATGGGCAACAGGCATCTAATGTCTGTGAAGTTCGAATGAAGAACCTGGCAGGTTTTTTCTCCAACATACACCATGTTTTGTGTGAGTTCATTTCCAAAGTTATAACCCTTAATTGTTAAATTAACGTCTCCTAATGTTTTAAAAGAAAAATATAACTTCTTGTAGAGAAATTTTACTTGTTATCCAGCATGAAATTCTCATATTAAACAAATCAACATGTTTATCTTTCATTGGAATTAGAAAATTCTCATACATTCAGAGGCAAAAAGTGAAACATCAGGGTTCTTGCTGCCAGGGCAGAGATAAAATACATGTTTGTTTCATGAAGAAAAGAAGACATCAAAGAACTTTTTAAAGAAATGATATCTTTCTCACCATTGTACACGTTCAAAGTAAAATTATAAGCTGACTAAACTGCACTTAAAGGGAAGGAAAACAAATTCAGAACTGGTTTCAGTGTAACGAGAAAAACTTCAGTGAGAAACAGTACTTTGAAAGACTTTCTGAAAGTGACACAAGCCTAGACATACCTGGGAATAGGGAAACTCATCTAGGAATCACTTCCATCAGACTGGCCTGTGAGCATGTCTGTGGTGAATTGTATTGACTGATGACTGATGTAGAAAGGTCCTGCCCACTGTGGGAAGTACCATCCCTGGGCAGGTGGGCCTGGACTGTTTAAGAAAGGAGACTGAACAAACCAGGGGAAGCAAGCCAGTAAGTAGCAGTCCTCCATGGTCTCTGCTTCAGTTTCAGCCTCCAGGTTTCTGTCTTGAGTTCCTGGCCTGGCTTCCCTAGATAAACGGGCTGTATCCTATAAGCCAAATAAACTCTTTCCTCCCCAAGTTTCTTTTGGTTCTAGGGTATATCACATCAACAGAGAGCAAGCTAGGACACCAGTGTTTGCTTTTGTATATTTGATCTCAAGAAACAAGTGGGAAAAAGTGACTTGCAAACCCCAAAGAAGCAATAAAGTCAGAGGAACTATAAAAAAGATATAATGAAGGCTACTCTGAGATCATACACAAAACTCCTACTCTTTTACTGTTCATGATGCATTCACTGTCCTAGGTGTCTTATCACATGCTCAACAATTGATAGATAATGAAAATATGACACATATACACAATGGAATTTTGCTCAGTTCTAAAGAAAAAGGAATTAATGAAACTTGCAAGTAAATTGATGGAACTGGAAATAACCATACTGACAGAGGTAACTTGGACCTAGAAAAACAAATTATTGATTTTACTGAAGAATTTCTTACCTAGAATTGTCCGTACTTTTGGACTGAAATCAGTAATAACTGGTGTCTGTAAACAATTATAAGTAAAACTGTCCTTTGCTGTGGCTTGAATTCCATTGGTAATAACCAAAATATCAACTGTACCCTCAATTCTCTGAAACAGTGGAAAAAATAAAATAATTAGAAAATATTAAATCATGAGGGTCTGAAATCCCATGGTTTGCCTTGGGAGTAACTCAGCATTTTGTAAATGTTTGCTTTGGAAGCACAAGAACTTGGATTTGGTCCCCAGAACCCACATTTTTAGAAAAAAAAGAAAAGAAAAGAAAAAAAAAAAAAAGCCAGGTCTTGGGGCACGTGCTTACAATCCCAGTTCTGGGATGACAGAGACAGCAAAATCTCTGGGCTTGATGGCCAGCTGTCCTGGCTCCATCCAGTGAGATATCCTGTCTCAAAGAACAAGGTGGGCAACTTCTGGGGAATGACACCAAAGGTTGTCCTCTGGCCTACACACACATACACACACACACACTCTCTCTCTTGTGTACCCACATATACACGCATCTGCACACACGTATATATACACACAAAAAGTAAACCTCTCACACACCTACACACACACACACACACTCACACAGAGATCAAATGGCTGAAGACAAATAGAATAGTTGCAAGTACGCTTCTGAAGATATTTTGTTTCAATCGTGAATCAGAATTAGTTCTCAGATGTTTAGAAAGTTACAGTATCAAATATAGGTTACATGACTAAATTCTCAAGATAAAGGTCAAATGGTCTTGGGCTTATGATCAACTTAAATAATCTATATTTACATTTTAAGGGCTCCACACTGCAGTTGAGATGCTCTGAACAAGTGGCTCTCTAACTAATAAAGGATAAATTTGCTTTTTGCTCTTGAAATAGATTTAAATTTAATTCTGATTCATTTACAAACTATACTCTACTGAACCATTTCCAGAATACAAGATTAAATACTAAAAAATACGTGATGCTTTTACTAATATGACATCTGTGCAATTCTCAATTAGGAGAAACTTTTATCCACCATTTGCTGTTCTGATAATGCACACTTTGTACCTAAGTGAATGCAATGATTTTAATAAAGTAGGTTTTCAGTTTGTCATATCCCCTACATCCTTCTTTCCATCATTCAGTCCACTACACACTCAGTATTGATTTTTCCTACAGATGATAACTACATCCCTAATTACTCTATATTTTGGGATTTAGGCATCAGTGACTGCATTTATTAACCTTTTCCTACATAACTATCAAACTTCAGTCTTCTTTAAAATTTAAAAATGATTTTTTAAAAATAAGGAATAATTGTTGATCCTAAGATATAATACTTTATGGAGAACTTCACATTTTTTATAAAAAATAGAAATTTTAGCGCATTTAAAAATAATCTGGGCTGGCTGCATGGTTCAGGGGCAAAAGCACTGGTGGTCAAGCCTGATGATCTAAGTTCAAACCCCAGAACCTACATAGTGAAAGATGAGAGCTGACTCATGTGCATTTTCCTCTGACCTCCACACCTGTGAAGTGGCAGATGAGTGTGTACACATGGACATATGCAAAATAAATAATTGAATAATCAAATAAACATAAAAATGCTTAAATACAAAGAATAATAAAATTTATTTTATAATTTAATGCAGGCCCCAATCTCAGCCAAAGAATTGGTTAGATTATTATTTTTAAAGATACATCTCTTGATTTTAAACTGTGATACAATTCAGTTTATTGTCTGTATGCTATCAAACACCTGTCCATTCTATTAGCTTACTTTAAAAAATATTTTTATTGATTCTTTGAGAACTTTATACAATGTAATTTGATCATATTCAGAGCTCCTTCCACATCTCCACCCCCACCCTACTTCCCCTTGACTTCATATCCTATATTGTTATTTATTTATTTATTTATTTATTTATTTATTTATTTTCCATTTATTTATTTATTGGTCCTTTTGAGACAGGGTCTCCCTGTAGCTCCAGCTGGCCTGGAACTTCCTTTGTAGACCAGGCTGGTCTTGAACTTGCAGCAATCTACCCACCTCTGCCTCTTGAATGCTGGGATTAAAGGTGTGTGCCACCACATCTGTGTTCTGTTATTAAAAACTCAAAAGAATTCTTTTAAATTTTTTATTGAGTTTTTGTGCATTTCATATGATAAATCTTAATCAAATTTAGAGCCCCTCACCCATATGCACCTCTCCATAGCCCCCCACCAGCTTTTACACAATCTGTTATATTACCCAGATGTCCCTTGGTACAAGTTCATCCACTGGATTCTGGTCAGCCTATCTGGAGTCTCTCCCTTAAAGAAGATCTACTCTCCTTCACCCCACAGTAATCAGTTGCCAATAGTTCCTCCACTAGGGTTGGGCCTGCTGCCCATTTCCCCAGTCCTATTACCTTGGCCTTGATTACCTCCCAGAACTTGAAGATATAACCCTATTGCTGAAGACAAGACATACTTTAGAAAAGGAGCTGGAACTGACCTGGAGACTTTCTCAAATGGTCAAACCCACCTATAAAGCCTAATAACCACATGACTGGCACAACAAACTATCTCTATTGGTGCAGTAGTGGCACTTTTATCTAGGGGGTAAACAACAGCTATCTAATTGAATTAAAGTCCTCTCAATATGAGGAAATTCATATATGGTACTGTAAATATAGCCAAATACACATGGTTGGGGAGGTCATAGACTCCAGAGAAAACCCTATCTCTGTCTTATTGATAGGCAACACAACATTTTACTGTATGCTAAATATGGATCCTTATATGTACAGACAAGTGTACTGTATACTACTCATCTAAGAAGCTTCTTTTTGCAAAAGATAGAGGCTATTACAGAGCTCCACAACTGATCACACACAGAGAATATACATCTGAGAGATGCCCAGTCCTGAGTGACATATCTATAGTGGATCCATTACACCTAAGGCTCATGGAACATAGCAGAACAGGGGGTAAAGAGAATACTAAAACACTATTTCTGACACCCCATCGCCACTGAATTTCATGTTTGTATCTGCTTCCATAGTTTCCAGTGGGGTGCACTGTCTTATTAATACTGGTTTTGCCTGACTATCATCTTTCATAATTTTTAAACATCTCAAATGTGAAGATAATATTTTGCCTTTGGATTTTAGTTGAAAATGTTAAAAGAAATAATTTTTGAAGATCATACTGTAAATTCTGAAATTTGTAGAAATACACCATGTGTCTAGCATCTACCTAGATGTTCTTAATTCATGAAGTTAAGACTTTTGGGGGAAAGTGGCTAAAGACAGAGGCCTTACTTTTGGTGTTTTGCAGGTTATCCTAGTCAAATCTCCTTCAATCATCTTGCAGGTTTCATTTCCAACTAAAACTGTTGAATTTTCACTAAAGCCAAATCCAGATACAGTCAGTAGAGTACCACCTTTATAAGAAAAACAAAGAAAATAAAACCAAAAAATGAATCATCTACAACAGAAAGAACCTTTCTCACTGTCTAACTCATCATTTCTGAATCATGGACAGGCAGGTGGGTGGAGAATTGGACACGCGGTCAGCACTTCATGCCCTGCCTAAACTCAGTTGCACAGGCTTGTCTCATGGTTGGCTTTGGGGTATATTAGCAACAAGCACTGTCTTCCACAATGTTTTCTTCATTTTGGAAAGAAGAATACTGTTTCTGTGTACTCTACTATGCCATATGTAGGAAATGAGGGTGAATTAAGGCTTAAATTTCAATATCTCTAAACAAGAAGAAATATGAGGCAAAATACAATAAAGAAAATTTTAAAAATCATTACAAAAGCACAATTTCCAAAAGTAATCATGGTTAAAAAATGCAAGGTGAGTAAAACAGAAGAAAACTATGCTATTGTCTGTGCATTGTTGTTTTCAGCCTTCCTGTGCCTGATTTGTCCCCAGAACTTTTTTCAGGGATGAGTAGCTCCATTGAGACCATGGTTACAAATGAAGCAGCTGGTAAGCAGAATACTAACCAATAAATCTTATCTTGACATAATTAATGAGCTTGTTATAGAAACATGCAGTAATTGATGATATTAATTCAATAACCTAAGATGTAAGTATAAGCAGTCACCCTGACTTGTACTCCATACGAAAGAAAAGAATTATCCAGCCATTTAATCCCTGTGCTTTCCACATGGACATTCTCTTTTGTTCTAGACAAGGGAGCTTTGGTTTCCTGTCCCTTTGCCCTGCACTAGAAACAAAGCACTGGAAACCAAATTGTGGAAATGTATTATATTGTCTCTGTTGAGTACTATTAACTATTACCTGCCAGGCTTCCAGAATCAGGCGAGATGTGTGAGATCTGACTCTGATAAACGAAGTGGAATCCCTCACCCTCTACATTCTGTGCTAGTCCAACATCAGCGATGGACACAACGACTGGTACATGTCCAGCACTTCCATTCAGGATCTGGCACTTGATTTCATTTTCTTGTGTTAAAAAAGAAGAAAATGATAAAGCAGATGTTCTTTTAGATTAAAACTCACTAAAGTTTATATTTGAAAATATCAACACTGGCCTTCATTTTTAGACCACAAGAAATATATCCAGGGTAAACTACTCATATGCTGATGGGAAGTAGAAAATAGTAAGGGGGTGGGTGGAATCTATAAATTACCTGATGCTATGAATTAAGTTAGTCCTAGAAAGCAGCAAATCAACAATGAAAAAAAATCTGGTGAAACTTTAGAGAAAGAAGGCCTATGACATAATTTTTAAAATTCTAATTTATAATTAGAATTTATAAACTTTTTCTGATTATATTAAAATTTTGGTCTAACATATTTATATAATACGTTCTATCAATAAAAGTGATCAAGTTAAATGAAAACATTTTCTTCACTTTATTTACAACAATTTAGGTAATATTGGCATAATTATGAGTATCTGACTTCAAGAATACATATATTTAAGTAAAAACAGATGAGATATGGTATGATTTGTCTACATAATTTTAATCTGTTTAAACACCTAGGACCATGAAAAATAACTTTCAGTGAAATTAAGTAGCAAGGGCCCTTGTAATGTCAAGACGTTAAAAATGTGAATGATCTTTAAATTCTGCATCACTGGAGACAGGTCCCATCAAACTCGAGGTCAAAAACTATAGGTACGTCCTCTTGCCTCAGTACTAGTACATTGTCAAAATGCAAAGGGCTAGGGAGTAGAACAGTAGTGAAGAACTTGCCTCCATGGCTAAGGCCTGGGTTCAAACCCTAGCACCACAAAACAAAGAAGAAAAATGTAGCAACTACAACAAGCATGATCAGAGGCCATGGTACAATAGAGCCACACTTCGAACATTATTTGTGGTCTGAGACACACTAATACATAAAAATCTAATAGAACTAGTTTGCAAGGTGTGTAATGGGATAAAGACGCTATTTAATAGTGAAACAATCAGTTTGTGGTCATAATTAAAGATAAAATGGATAAGGTACTATCCAGAACAAATTACCAATTTCACAACACCACAGTGTGTACTACAGGGCAGTCATATCTGTGATGACTCTTTATGCCAATTTCTCAGAGAAAAACAATCAAACCTCATGATGTTTGAAAGGACTTACCATCCACAGAAAGAAGAGAGCAACTCGTAGGTCCAACAGAGATGGATACAGCTGAGGTAGAAGAAAATCCAGACCCTGCTATGGTTAGAACTGTGTTTTCTTCATAGGATCCTGAAAGTGATGATTGTAAGTCACAATATTTTAAATGATAAACTTAGAATCCATTTTCATAAACTCATATATTTATTAGACAAGAATATGCCTTTCTTTTAAAAGATATAAATGGTAAGTCTGAAATCAACCAAAGAAAAAGGCATTTTTACTAAACAATGATATTTTTCTATAGAATTAGTCTATATTGATTTGTATTTTGGATCTCTTTGCTAATAGATATATCAGAAGAATTATCTGACCGAAAATACGGAATGAGGTAAGGAAAGCAAACTTACTCTTGTGACAAAGTTAAGCCAGCATTTGCACTGGCAGTGAGTCATCATAAGTTGATGAAGAAAGAATAAGCTGTAAGTAACATTGACACTTTTCACTTTCAAAGGACAAAGACTTCCTCTGCCTAGAAAGACCGATATCCTAAATGCCTATGGTGGTCTCTGCATCTCCTACTGTCCTACCTTCTCCATGTTTTTCCATTCACTCTGAAGTATACAGACTTGAAAAATGAATAAAAATATTAATTTTAAAAAGAGTTTACAGTCATTTAAAACCCATAAAACAACATTCTTTATTCCACCCCACTTAAAGAAAGTTAATGGTAGCTGGTAGTCAGGGATTCATGATGACCCTTATCTCCTTGAGGATCTATATACATTATTATCCTTTCTGTGAGAGAGAGATATTTTCTTTAGTTGTGTAGACACTAGTAAGGTGTCTATTTTCTTGTAAATAACCTCACACTCATTTTCCTGTAAACAACTTAATGAAACTCATTCAGTCACTAATAGAGGAGAGGGGGTGAGGAGGAGGAAGGAGAAAGTAGAAAGGCAGAAGTTAGGAAGGAGTGGATCAGTGATAGGAGGAGGAAAGGAGAAAAAAGGTACATGGGTTGAATATGATCTATCTACTATCTACTATCTATCTATCATCTATCATCTATCTACCTATATATCTATCATCTATTTATTTATCTGTGAAAATGTCTTAATAAAACTTATTATTAGGTATAATTAATGTATGCTAATAAAAACATAACAAACAAGGTAGACAGCTCCTGAGGAATGACAATGTCGATCTTTGGCCTGCACACACACACACACACACACACACACACACACACTCACTCTGAAAATCATCAGATTTACCATATGTGTATGTTATATACAAAAGACATTAAAACAGCATGGAAGAATAAACACAAATTAATTACTGGTCACCCCTAAGGAGATGTGTGCAGACTGGGATGAGAGGGTGCTTAAAGAAGACTTTAGCTTCTCTTATAATATTTTTTTCTTAAACTAGTGATTGAAAATGTGTGTAACAAAATGCTAGCAAGTGCTAATTGGCAGTGAAGAAAATGGCTTTCCTTTTATTTTCCGTTACTTTAAAGTTGATCATAACATAATGAAAGGCAATTCAGGATACTAATTATCTTGAGTAAAAAGCTAATTTTCAAGAATATATACAGAAAAGGATATTCAGTAGCAAATGCAAGGTTACACACAAAAATAGCTATACCAAGGGATAATAATAAAAATATTTGCTTAATTCTTAATCATGAGATTTTTGATCCTATATAACAGGTTTTATCCCAAGGTTAATACCATTACTAACAAACATCAGAACAATATATTCTTTCAACCTAAGGACATACTACTTTAAATTTTTAGTGCTTGGAAGGTGATATAAAATTAGCAGATAAAACACTACACACACAAAACAAAGAGAAAATTCTGAAAGCTGCAAAAGAGAAACAACAAGTCACATATAAAGGAAAACCCATTAGGATCACAGCTGACTTTTCAATGCAAACTATGAAAGCCAGAAGAGCCTGGACCAAAGTATTCCCAGTTTTAAATGACCACAGAAGCATACAGAACACCAAACAGACAGGACCAGAACAGAAACTCTCCACGGCACATCGTAGTAAAAACACTACACGCACAAAACAAAGAGAAAATTC